CAATCAGCATGGTTACATACGAGTTCACATTCAAACCTTTAATTAACCAATTAAGAATTAAAGGCCAAACAGACTCTCCGAGGCGTATTGTGCATTTAATACCACCTGGGGTCTGCATTTCATTTCTCTAGACTTTTCAAGGCGTATCGTCCATTTGATACCACTTGGAGTCTACATCTTCTATTACTTAGGACTCCCCGAGGTGTACTGTGCGTTTAGTACTACCTGGAGTCTGTGTTTCATCGCTTTATAACCAGCAGTGTTACTGCTGAGGTAAAACATTATTTTCCTATTACAACTACTTGTGACCATGTCACATACACTTTTAAGTAAACTATATCTTCGCAATGATAGTTTCACAAGGAAAAACCCTTACACTATAAAAGAACAAAGCATACAAACAGTCGGGTCTTGGTAGAAGACTACATTTTACTAGAAAATATAGGATTTTCTAGGGAGTTCAAACATTTATAAAAATTTACTAAACAGTTATGAGCGAGTATACTACGTTGTTACAAACATTTTCATTCAAGCAAAGACACTAAGTACTTATGAACTCACCAGCGTTAATGCTGATAAACTCTTTCAAAATAACTTGTATTCTCAGGTCATCAGTAGACAGGTACAGATGGAGCTTTTGAGAAGATGGAGCACATACAAGACTCATCTTTAATTTGATTATACATTTTTGGTGTCTTACATACTATACAGAACACGTTTGTATTACAATTATTCTATTAATGCAATGGATGTTGTTGCTTGTTTACTATTATGCTTTGTTATGATACTGTACATGACGTCCTCCACCCCAGAACGTTTCCGCTGTTCCGGTTTTGGGGTGTGACAACCCGTTTCAGTGAGTAAGTCCAACACATATTTTCGTTGGCACATGGTGATTCCCTGACTTGATCTAGCTACTTCGATACCTAAGAAATACTTCAGATTTCCTAGGTCCTTCAATTCAAATTCTTTTGTGAGGACTACTTGAAGGTTGGTCATTTCATCTGGGTCTTCTCCTGTGACTACCATGTCGTCCACATACACTATAAGGGCAGTCAATTTTTTTCCATTTTGCTTCACGAAGAGGGTGTGATCCGCATCACTTTGTTTATAACCATTTTTTTCATGAAGTTTGAAAATCTTCCAAACCAGGCTCTGGGAGATTGTTTTAGACCGTATAATGCCTTCTTCAACTTACACACCTTTCCATGACAATTTATGCCTGGAGGAGGTTCCATGTAGACTTCTTCTTCTAGGACCCCATTAAGGAATGCATTCTTTACGTCAAATTGTTTCAAGGGCCAGTCTTTGTTTGCTGCTATGGAGATGAGAATACGAATGGTGTTCATTTTTGCAACCGGGGCAAATGTGTCTCCATAATCAATTCCATATTTTTGAGTGTACCCTTTGGCGACAAGTCGTGCTTTGTATCTGTCAATATTTCCATTTGAATCAAGCTTAATAGAGTATATCCATCTGCATCCGACAGTCTTCTTTCCCGGTGGAAGTGACGTTAATTCCCATGTATGGTTCTTTTGTAAGGCTTTCATTTCGTCGTTCATAGCTTCCTTCCATTTGTGTTCCTTCAAAGCATCCTGTACATCACTAGGACTAGATACAGATGATAGTTGATTCACAGCAAAGGCATGAGTTTTCGAAAGGTGATGAGATGAGACATAATTGTTTATGGGGTATTTCGCCTTAGAATTGAGATCTGGTTTGTATTGTTTCTTTGGAACGCCCCTGTTTTGTCTGGTGGGATACCTTGGTTCATGAATTTGATCATGTAAAATAGGGGAGTTGGTCTCAGTATTTACCTGTGGTGAAGTCTCCGGATTCTCGATGGTAATAGGAGTAGCCGAGGAAGTTGTACATTTGTGTTGTTCATGATGATCATTCTGACCCATATCTTCACCAAGGTGCTGGTTACTTTCTTCATCATTATTTTCCACAAACTCAGCATCATCAGTTGTTACGACAGGAGAGACAGGTTCAAAATTGATATCATTGGTAACAGGCATAGTGTCGGTTGATTGAACAACTTCCGAGGGATGTTCATGAGTGATCTCTTCTTCGGTGTCAAGTTTTTTCTCCCCCTGAAGAGAGCATTCATGTTTGAAAAATGGGATGTTCTCATGAAAGGCAACATCTCGGGAGACATACATCTTTTTTTCTTTAGGATCATAACACCGATAACCCTTTTTGAGATCTGCATATCCAAGAAATACACATTTTACTGCTCGTGGCTCTAACTTTCCTATGTTCTGATGTACATATGATGTACATCCAAACACGCGTGGTTCCAAGTTTGGAGTCGTTGGAGTAATAACTAGTTCGTGAAGTTTTTCAATGGGAGTCTTGAAATCAATGACTCGAGATGGAGTTCGATTCATGAGGTATGTAGCGGAGTGAACTGCTTCCCCCCAGTATTCTCGTGGAACATTCATGTCAAACAGGGAGGCTCGAACAATTTCAAGAAGGTGTCGATTCTTTCGTTCAGCCAATCCATTCTGTTGCGGTGTATTGGCACACGAGGTTTGGTGTTTAATGAAGTTTTTTTTACAAAAAAACTTCATTTCATGATTCACATACTCACCCCCATTATCAGTTTGTAGGACCTGTATGTTGCATTTGTATTGGGATTTTACCATTGCATATGGTTCCTGAAACACCAAACCAACTTCTCCTTTGGTTTTAAGGAGAGATATCCAGGTCATTCTTGTGCACTCATCAATAAATGTGACAAAATAACGAGCACCAGTAGGTGTGGGGATTTGAGCCGGTCCCCAAACATCAGAGTGAATAATCATGAAGGGAAATAAACCTTTATTAAAACTAGGAGCATACGAAATCCTATGGCTTTTTGCCATTTCACAAACATCACACTTAAAATCAATATCTGTTGTATGTAAAAACAAATCCGGTTTCAATTTCCGAAGATAACTAAATGATAAATGACCCAAGCGACGATGCCATAACCATGATAACTCTTTACTTCCTTGATTTATTCCAGTACTGTAAGCTTCACCATGTGGTTTTTCTTCAAGGTAGTACAACTTCCCTCTCCTAATACCATAGCTAAGAATCTGACGAGTCGAAATGTCCTGAAAAACACACTCATCAGGCCAAAATGTTACAAAACAGTTCATGGTTTTTGTGATCTGACTGATGGATAGAAGATTTGAGGATAGAGATGGAACAACTAAAACGGTATCCAAATTCATAGAGTTGGATATATGAGTAGATCCCTCACAGATGACCTTTGCTTCTCCCCCATTAGCAGTGAGAATATTGGATTGTGATGGAGAGCACAAAGAAGTTAGTTTTGAGGAATCATTAGTCATGTGGTCTGATGCACCTGTATCAATAATCCAAGTATTATTAAGATTACCTTTTGATTTATCAGTATCATCTACTTTTTCCACATGAGCAGCCACAGGTTTTGAGGTTTCTTCAGATTTTGAAGCAACTACAGCTGCTTGACTGATCTTCTTCCTTGGTTTTTTCGAAAAATCCCACCAGTCAGGGTACCCAATAATTTCATAGCATATTTGCTTGGAGTGACCTTCTTCTCCACAGTGGGTACAAGTGTAGTTGCCTCCCTTGGTGTTGGGATTCTTCCCTTTAGAAGGGCGATTTCGGGTGGCTAGGTGGACCATTCCATCAGGTTCAGTCTTCGGTTCTTCCATGGTAAGTCTCTGGTTTTGATCTTTACGGACATATGCATAGCATGATTTCAGATCCATGGGCGGATCTTTTCTGAGAATTTCACTTCGAATTTGATTAAACTCCGGATCAAGTCCGGCCAAAAAGATATGTACTCGAAGACGGGCTAGGGTCGTGTGAAGTGATACGACAGCAGTAACATCATCATCTTTGTCTTGCTTCATAATACGAGAGTCAATCTCTTGAAATATACTTACTAGTTCATTGTAGTAAGCGGGTAGGGTTCTTCCGTTTTGACGCGTTGTGAAAGATCTTCGATTCAATTCAAATAACTGTGTTTCGTCGGTGCCATCATAGAAGGTTTTTGCAACTGCTTCCCAAATTTCGTTAGCTGTCTGAAGTCTAATAAATCGCTGCATCAGGGGTGGACTCATTGAATCAATGAGCCAACTCTTATCACGGTGGTTATCAATAACCCACGCTTCCATCTTCTTTTCATCTATTGGCTTCGGGTTGGAACCTGTGAGGAACCCTAATTTGTTCCTTGCTCCAATTCGCATCTCCATGAGTTGAGACCATAACGGGTAATTTTTATCATCCAAGATGATTCCGGATGGAAATGGCGCATCTTGTACATTCTGAACAATGACAGAAGGGGTTTCTTTCTCAGACATGGTGCAGATTTTTTTCGAGTTTATGAAGGATTAGAGAGAAAAAAAGAAAGATCTCTATTTCCGATATTGCTCTGATACCATGAAGAACAAAGAGTTCAATACGAGAATGATTTTCAGTCTATTATCAATCTCTGGAAGAAGGTACAATTTATACACAAATACAGAAAACACACAGCTAATTACAGCTACTAATTACAGCTAATTACAGCTAATTTGTCCTGTAAACAAGGAAATTGGGGGTAATATATCATATCCTAAAATAAGCTCTCGACAACAATGATAAGACATCATTGTTATCATTTTTTTAATCGATAATAATATATATAAGTAAAAGAATGTTATTTTTAAAGTGAAAAAGGTGTAAAAAGAAAACAAAGAATGGGTCATTTTCCATGGGAAGCTGCAAGGCTGTGGGCATGCTAAAATGTCCAAGATAACCTCACCTACCCAAAGTCTAAACGGTAATATCCAAGGGCATTCCCGTCTTTACATTCGAAAAAAAATAGATATCCAGACAAGATCCACGCCATTGAGAAACAAGGGGCCCCGAAACTGACCGAGGGTCGAAAAAGATGTATTCAGCAAGAAAGTTGCCAAAAAGCAAACAATAAAAATAAATAAATAATCATTTTTTTTTCTCTATATAAACCCCTCGCGTCTCCTGAATTTCCTTTCTTTCTTTCCGCAATCTGGTCATTTCCACAAGGTACACCTACTTTCTCTCTCTCTTTCTTTCTATTTCTATTTCTATTTTTTTTCATTTTTATTTAATTATTTGTCAAGTTATATTTATTATTTAATTTTATTTTCTTGTTCATGCTTTACTTGTTATGAAATTAACAAATGGGTTTTCTCTTTGATTCATTAGTCTGTGAGATTTGGGGATTTCATATCTAATTCTTGTGTTACTTTCGAACAATGTGGAATGCATGTATTTGATGCAATGCCTTTTTTTCCTTCTTTTTGTTGAACTATTGAAGAGCAAATTCTGTTAAAAGTCAAAAGCAAATCCCTAAGATACATCATATATTAGATTCAAGATGGTTTTCGAGGACATAAACACTTACTAAAACATGATTTGTGAGATCTTTTGATTTTAAATTAGGAATGTCGGTGGGATCTTGGTAAATTTGGAATTACCGGTGTTCTTTTTATCAATGAATGTAATATCATATCCTTCCTCAATTGAAAAGATAGGGAATTCCTTAATTAAAATGAATTATCAGATCACATATCCGATCAATAAGATGTATTTTTCCCTTATTTGCTTTACATCAATTATATACTTTTATTTTTTGCAGATTTATAGCCATGAATAGCTAAAGAACGAAATCTTGAATACGTTTATTCAAAAAATGAGGTGAAAAAGCATTGTTTTTTAATAACTGTAAACATGATGGAAGTCGACACTACAAGTTCGATGGTGAACAATATTATGATGATGGAAGTGGATACTGGAAACTCTCGGCCTTTAGAAGTTTCTACACCTGCAAAAGAAGCAAGGAAGCATCCGGAAAACAAAGGGAGTAACACCACTGTATTTATTAACCATGGTGGGTGTTTCTTTTTTGAGTTAATACAGAAAGACCATTGCTTCTTTTCTCAAATACCTTTTATGAATCAATTATTTGATTTTGTAGGTTTGATTTCTTGGAACGAGAGCAGACGAAAATGGATTGGGGATCAATCTCAAAGATCGCAAAGAGAAAGAACGCCAGAAGATCCCGTCATAAGGTTTAATTTGCAGTCCGATTTTGTTTTTTTGCCTAATTTTTGGTACGGGTCGTGTTTCTATGTTTAATTTTGACTTTTTTTGAGTTCAAAGACTAATTTCAATCTCAAAAGTCAAAATTGATAATGTAGCTCAAGAATTCAAATGCAATTTTGTTTGCTTTATCCACTCATGGGATTTGACTGTACTGCAGCTGGTCAACGACTTATGAAGATTTGCTTTCAAATAACGACCGTTTTCCTGAGCCAATCCCTTTATCGGTAATAATTTTCATTTTCACCATTCTTTCATGAAATCAAATATCATGAACATTGCAATATTTCATTTTTTACCACAAATCAAATACTTTTTCTTGAGATGTGTTATTTCAATATTGCAAAGATCTTGCCTATATTTATGCAAAAACTAGTCTTTTAATCCCAAACTATTTGGCTGTAGTGAAATCTTGAGTCTTGACTATTTTTATTTATTGTAATTTGTAACAACTAACACCCTCTTGGTAAAGTCTACTCCTCCAGCCAATGCATTCAAAAGTCAACTTTGTGTTGACCAAACAAAAGGGGTTCTAATTTTTTGTTATTTGGATTTTTTTTTTTGCAGGAGATGGTAGACTTCTTAGTTGATATATGGCTTGACGAGGGTTTATATGATTAGATGATCAGTTGGAATTTACCATAATGTTCAAAGAAACTTGGATGAGCATTGTTTTTTTATCTTTTGATGATTTTTAGGATCAATTGTAAGTTAATAGCATAAAAATTGGCTTTCAAAAGCTTAGGAGGGACCAAGAAGTAGCTTTGTAACAAGATTTCATGTGCTTATAGTATAAACTTCTTAAGGTTTTTGCTATTTATGTGATCCTTGGTAAATTGTGAGTCAATTTTGCATAAGAAAAAGATAAAGATGGACATTTTGTTACACCGAAATGTTAAAAAATAAAAATAAAACATGTGCTGTATATGTAGATCAAGAAAACTTTATTTTGATAAATAGATATGGCAAATGTAAGATCTTAAACAATGAATTTGTTTTTAAATGATTTTTCAGCTAGCTTGAGCAAGAGGTGTTTCAATTGATATTAGAGCATGAGATTAAGGTGATGAGGATGGCGTCTGTGGCTTGTCAACGCAAAGACAATCAAAGAACCGATTATGTAGCAAACAGGTTTACAAACCACGAAATAAGGTGGTGGAATAATTTGAAGATATTTATTGGAAGGCGTGTTGTTGAGAATTTAACTTGGGATGAACTACTAGAAAAGATGAAAGAACAGTTATACACACCTAAGGAGATAAGGCAGTTGGAGAAAGATTTTCTAGATTTGAAGAAAGAAAAAATGGTGGTAAAGGAGTACAATGCTAAGTTTTTGGGTATGATGTTTTTGCAAGAAGGTTGGTAGACGATGAAAAGAGCAAAGTTAGATAAAATCAAGAAGTTTCGGTACGAACAAGCGTTAGACTTGTTCCCCCAGACTTTTCTTCTGTCCAAAAAACATTCTAAGTTATTTTAACTACACATTTTCTTTCATTCGAATTAAAATTAGAACATTAATTTCAATTATTTTGAGCAAACAAATAGTTAGTTTACCGAAATTCAAGTCAAAAAGTGATTCAACTGATGGGATTTGACATGATACTTATGATATTGATGAGATTGGTTTTTTAATATTTCTTATTAAAACGTATTGATTTGACCTCATAAGTGGGCCACCACCCAAGAAAATGCTTCTATGAAAATGCTTTATAATATTGTGAAAATGCTTGATTTTGACAGAAACATCTACGAAAATGTTTAATTATACTGAGAACTTGCATTTGAGAATTTAAGTAGTTATACTCACCAACACATTTGACAACCTTTTTTTTTTTGCCAATTTTGTAGCCTTTTAGCTCATTCAATTTTTGTCTAACTCTTGATACACACTTAGGGCATTCATAACATCACGGTGCCACATTAGCATCGAGCCTTCAACGCCTAGAGAGGGATGGTGTTTGTCTATGAACACAACGTTAATGAGGCCAAGAAAGAAGAAAAGCGGAGAGGAAGAAGAGAGAAATAGACGTTGAAGTGGCAACGAGAAGTAACGAAGCATTGAAGGGGCGATGTTCATTTCTCCTTAACGGCGTTAACGGAGGCCACGTAGGCCTCTCAATGCAGTTGAGAGACCCATACCGATCAGTCTTAAGGATTCAATAAGAATGATATTGGGGACCAGGGAGAGATGATTGATAATTGAGCCATATTCTTATTGAGAGAGAGAGAGAGAGAGAGAGAGAGGTGTTCTAGATGGAAAGCATAAAGCTACAAAGAAGAAATAGAAGAATAAACACAAGCTAAGACAAAAACCCTAATGTGCTAAAGGCTAAGGAGCCCATAAACATGTGGGCTAACAACTGTGGGTTAACAAGATATAGGCAAACATCTTCCCTCAAACTCACAATGCCACAACAATAAGCATTGGGAGTTTGTCACACAAAAAACGAAAACGAGATGCCGATAGAGCCTTCGTAAAAATATCTGCAAGCTGCAAGGTGGATGAAACAAACGGAAGTGATATGGTTCCGAGCTGTAAGTGATGACGGGTGAAGTAACAATCAATCTCAATGTGCTTCGCCTGCTCATGGAACACAAAATTCTTCGCAATTTGTATCACATTTTTGTTATTGCAATGCATGGGAGTAGGTGAAGAAATGTGAACCCACATATCTGCAAGAAGCCACCGTAACCAGATTATCTCACATGTAGTCACAACCATAGCTTGATACTCAACCTCCGTGGAAGATCTAGAGACAATGTCCTATTTTTTTATCTTCCATAAAATGAGAGACTCTCCAAAAAACACGCAAAATCTTGTGGTGGATTTACGATCATGACGATCACCATCCCAATCACCATCACTATAGGCATGTAACTCAAGAGAAGATGTAGAGGGAAACAAGAGGGTCTGAAACTGAGTGTCACGAAGATATCTCAGAATACAGAGTACAACTCCCCAATGAACAGAAGTAGGAGCATTAACAAACTAACTGACAATATGAACATCATGAGCAATATCCGGACGAGTAACCGTGAAATAAACCAAACTTCCCACAACAGTCCGGTAAAGATTCAAACCGGACAAAGGAACATCATCAGTAGGAGAGTCCTGTGCATTGGTTTCAAGATAAGTATCTACAGTCCAATTGTCAAAGAGGCCAACCCGTGTAAGCAAGTCATATATATATATATATATATATATATATATATATATATATATATAGTCTGAGAAAGAAGATACCCTTTCTTAGAGTGAGTCACCTCAATACCCAAGAAATAACGCAGCAAGCCCAAATCCTTCATAGAAAATCGATGAGCTAAATCATGTTCCAAAGACTCAATACCACCATGGTCATCACCAATAATAATCATGTCATCCACATATAAGGACAAAGAATCTGTCCTGCACTCGAGCATCTAACAAACAAAGTCGAATCATGATTACTCTGGACAAATCCAAGAGAGGTAATCATTGTGGAGAATTTCTCAAACCAAGCATGAGGTGCTTGCTTGAGACCATACAAAGCTTTGCGAAGCCGAAAAACCTCACCCGGCTGGTGCTGAATTCCTGGGGGAGGAGACATATAAACCTCTTCATGGAGGTCACTGATGCTACCTGGTCACCGGACGTTAACGTCGTACGCCTCTGAGGATTTCGATGAGCCTGTGAGGTCACAACGAGAAAGAAGCGTCAGTCGTTCTCTGACAGACGGCTCCCTGGAAAACGCTCTGGCGGTTAAGTCAGTGGTTGGACTTGAGAGAATATGGGGGTCAAACGGGAGAGAGCGACCTACTTTCCAAGGTACTGAGGGTGGCCTTTTATACTGAACCCTTCTGCTAGTCCGTACGGGACAAGTCAGTCCCGACAAGATCAGGGACGCTGATTGGATGATCGTGCTCTTTGGTCTATCAGAGCCAACGATTGGTTTAGGTGGTAATGCTCTGAGCATCCGCTTTGTCTCCTGGAGCCGTTATGCTTTTGTCGCAGAGCGGAAGGCGACCCTGGCGAGGCTGGGCCTTCTCTGCAAGCGCCCTGCTCTTAGGGGCGTTGGCGGGCTCTAAGTTCCGTCGGGCTCGATCTGGTAGTCGAGGCGTGCCTTGAGGCATTCTTTGGCGCGTCTGAACGCGACTTCTTTGTCCGTGCTAGGGTCACATCATCAAGTCCCCTAGTCCGGTAGTCATAGCATTGCTTAGACTAGCTATGATGTTCTGGACTTAACTGCTCGGTACACGCGTCAAGCTCTAATTCAATTGTCGCTTCGGTTTTTACGGCAACGTGACTGCCCATCATGACAGTCGGTTACATCATTACGTCCGAGATTGTGAATATCCCGCCTTTCCTTATTCTTTATAAGGTTAAGGACGTTTTTTATTCAGGCCACTTTTTCCTCCTATTTCTTCTTCTTCTTCAGTTAGGGCTTTCTTTTTGGTTCCATGGCTGCTCAACCTGGCACTGTTCCATCTGAAGTTGAGTTCTCGCTTCTCAGTGACGCCTATGGCCTTTATCCAGCCGACGGTGTAGAGTTCCCGTCGGCTGATTCAATGATCCTATCTCCACCCCCAGGAAAAGTGGGCATTTATCTGAAAACCCTTGATGCTGGTTTGCGTCTTCCCCTTACTGATTTTCAAGAAGAACTCGTGCAGAAGAACGGATGCAGTATCCAAATGCTCACTCGCAACGCTGTCAACAAAGCAGTGGCATTTGAGATGATTTGTCGGGCAAACAGAGTGCTTCCTGACTACTTTGTCTTCAAGTTCTTCTTTAGATTCAGCACTACATGTGAAAAATACATGTTCTCTGCTCATCGTGGGGGTCATGTCCTGGTTCCTGATGGCAAGACTCCCAAGAACTGGCAAGACAAGTGGTTGTGGGTTAACCAGGATCGGGTCGGCCGCGGGCGATACCGGGAGAACAATTTCTCTAACGTCGCTCCTAAGTTGTATCCTCACAACCAAGCTACTGTTGATCTTCTGAAGACCATTCAGGTCGTGCCTGAGGAGTACTCGGAGGTTTTGCTTGTCGGGGTCGGGATGATCCCCTCCTGGAGACGCCGGGGGAAGATGCTTATCTTTCACACTATTACTGATGGTAGATAGTTATGCTTTCTTTTCTGCCACACTATCTTCTTCCCCCCCCCCCCTTTTTTTTTGAAAAAAGGGAGTCGCTTGAGAACGGTCATTATTTTTCTCATGTTTTCTTGGTTTGCTTTCGCTTTTGCAGGTGTTGAGTCCCCTCTTTCTATGGATGAAGTCTTGCGAAAGTGGTACCGGGGGAAGCTGGAGCATCGGGAGGTTGATCTCATTGAAACTCTTCCTCCGCCTTGCCGGGTGATCAGCTTGCCGCGACTGTTCCTCCAGTGACACCGGCTGTGGAGAGGTCTTCGATGACTGTCGAAGAGCGGCCCCTGGATGCTCGACCCATTATGACGATTGCTCCCTCTTCTGTTGGTGGTTCTGGCCATACGGAGGTAGTCGAGGACAACAAAGATGACAGTATTTCCGACATCCGGCGAGCTATGGCTAAAAGGAAGGTCGTCCTGGTCATGGGGGAGACCTCTACCGATGTTTTCAACATCGGGAGGCGAGTCCAATCGAGGCGCAATTTTACTCGTTTGTTGAACTCTATCTCCTCCACGCCGGAGGCGATTGTAGTGATCCCTGATGACGACGCACAATAGTCCGAGGGGGTCAAGGGGTGATTAACCAGCCTATTGTTTCTGTTCAAACTATTCCACAGTCTTCTTCTGATCTCCCCCCCCCCCCAGGGGTTCCGGGGAGGTCATGCTGCATCAAACCCCATCCAGTGAGGAGCTCCTTCTGGGGGTGATTCCGAATCTAATGTGTTTGTTCCCTCTTGGAGTTTACAGAATGATTCCCGCCTATCTGTCCACACCAATACTGTAGAGTTTGCTCGCTACGTATTTCCACCTGTTGATGTTATTGACATGGAGACCATGGGCAGCCCCACATTAGCTCATAACATGTCATACGCCGCTGTCCAAGCAATGTTTTATCTGGTC